GGGCTGGCGGTGGCGGAGGCATTGGGGGTCGCGGGGGCGCGTGTGGTGCTGAGCTCTCGACGCGACCAACACGTGGCGGCCGCTGTGGGGCGGCTGCGAGGCCAGGGTCTGGAGGTCACTGGGGTCAGCTGCCATGTGGGGCGGCCCCATGACAGGGAGGCCCTGGTCCAGAAGGTAACCTTGGAGGGGGACTTGTGGGGCTGGAGTGGTGTGGGGGCATGTGAGGTTGTTGAGCTCAATGAAGTTGTGAGGATAAATGGGGCAATAGGGGGGTCTCATGAAGTTATGGGGCACGGGAGATTCTATGAGGCTGTGGGTCACTGTGGGGCCATGAGGATTAGGGGGTTCAATTGGGCCATGGGGGGACCACAGGGCAGTGGGGGATCTGTGGGGCTGTGGGTCACCATGGGGCCCTGAGGGTTGTGGGGCTCAATGGCACCATGTGGCTTCTATGGGGCTGTGGATGTCTATGGGGCTGTGGAGGTCACTGGGGCTATGGGAGTCTCCTGGGGCTGTGGGGCACTGGAGGATGTATGGGGCTGCCGGTCATGACGGGGCCATGGGACTTGTGGGGCAAAATGGGGCTGTGGGAGTTGTGGGGCACGATGAGGCCATGGGGGTTCTGTGGGATGGGGAGGCCAATGGGGTCATGGGGGTCTCATGAAGTTATGGGACACTGGAGGTTCCATGGGATTATGGGGTACATGGAGGTCCCATGAGCCTGTGGTGAACTAGATGTTCTGTGGGGTTCTATGGTCACCATGGGGCTGACAGTGCCATGGGGCACTGGGAGATCTATGGTGTTGTGGGGCCCTGGGGGGTTGTGTATCCTGGTGGGTTTGGGTGGGTGGTCCCAGAAGCACTCCCTGGCCATAAGGCGGCCACTTGGGAAGCCCCATGTCACTATAGGGCAGAGGGTCCCGCCCCTTTTGACTCCACTCCCTTGACCTTGGCCCTGCCGCTATTGACCCTGCCTCTTCACAGGCCCTGGCCACCTATGGAGGCATCGACATCCTGGTGTCCAATGCCGCCGTTAACCCTGCCTTTGGCCCCGCCCTCGAGGCTGACGAGGGCGTTTGGGAGAAGGTATGGCCATGCCCCTTCCCCTTAGCCCCGCTCATGCGGTCACGCCCTTTCAAACCTCACCCCTCCCGTCCCCGTCCCCAAGATCTTCCAGATCAACGTCACAGCGGCTGCCATGTTGGTCAAGTTGGTGGTGCCCCACATGGAGAAGAGGGGGTGAGGTGGGCGTGGCTTGGGGGAGGGCATGGTCATTGCCGGGCATGCCCATCCCAGATGTCATTTGCTCCGCCCACCCTCCTCATTATGCAGGGGAGGGTCCATCGTCCTGGTGTCGTCATTGGCTGGGTACATGCCCTTCCCGGTGAGTGGGCGTGTCTGGGGAGGTGTGTGGCGGGTGTGTGGGCATGGCTAGGGTGGTGAGGTGGGCGTGGCTTGGGGGAGGGCATGGTCATTGCCGGGCATGCCCATCCCAGATGTCATTTGCTCCGCCCACCCTCCTCATTATGCAGGGGAGGGTCCATCGTCCTGGTGTCGTCATTGGCTGGGTACATGCCCTTCCCGGTGAGTGGGCGTGTCTGGGGAGGTGTGTGGCGGGTGTGTGGGCATGGCTAGGGTGGAGCAAGGGATGATGAGGTGGAAGTGGGATGGGACCGGGTGAGACTCATCTCTTGAGGCTTGGGTTGGGTGGGCGAGACTGGCAGTGGTTGGGTGACGTCCTGTGGGTGTGGCCAGGGCCTGGGGCCTTACAGCGTGAGCAAGACAGCGCTGCTGGCGCTGGCGAAGGTGCTGGGCCCGGAGCTCCGTCCTCTCAACATCCGCGTCAACGCTGTCG